ACACACATATATACATGTATATAACATATATTTAAATTGAAAAATTTACATGTATATAAATTAATTTATCTGTATTTGACATATATATATACTACACAGTTTGTATATATATATAGGTCCACTTTTTCAAGATTTTTTGTTTTATATATTTTTCCAATTTAAACAAGTATATATTATATATATATATATTCTAAATATATACATATTTCAAAAATACAAACCATATATATATATATATATATATATATATATATATATACATATATACGTTTACACCTGATATATTTAAAAACAATAAGTTAAATTTGTTTTGGAATATTATTTATATAAAAAATATAATTACCTTACTTTTTCAGCCTAATTCACACACACATATAATGGTAAGGCAAAATATCAATTACACACACAAAATATATATATATATATACACACACACATATATACACACACACACATATATATATATATATATATATAAACAAATATATCATTTGATATTACACACACACATATACACACATGTACACACATACCTATATATACACATATATCTACTTTTATATATATACATATGTTGTACTGCATTGTCATATATACATATATATATACATATATAGTTATATAAATATATATATATACATATATATATATACATATATATATATATATATAGCATACATATATATATATATATATCTTTATATATATATATATATATATATATTCACACATATATATATTCATATATACACACAACACATATATATATACATATATATGTATATATTTATATACACTATATATCTCATTATATATATACATATATTTTCGGGCTTTTTGTCAATTCATTTACATTAAAAGTTTATTTTAGAAAAAAAAAAATGAACACTATTTTTAAAAAAAGAAATAAATGAATAAGCGCACGACATGTCGTAGAAGGTGTGAAAGAAGGGAAAATCAAGTCTATTGCAAATGTATCGATAGGGTGTTAAATAAAATATACATACTTTCTTTTCATCCCACTTCCATATGAAGTCAAAGAGAACTTTTTAGCATGCATTCAACGAGTCAAAATTTCTATTTTCTGATTGGAAAGGTTTTTTGGTCTGGAAATGTTATTGTAGCTAATTTTTCTTGTTGACAACACACAGATATTGTATGTTGTAATATATAACTGGGCATTGAAGTAAAAAAATGAAAATTTTTAAAACCCAATTTGTTTTTTAGAATCATTCAAGAATTAACAAGAAAGTATTTTCTCTTTTTCCGGATGTCAAATTGTTACAACTGCATATAAAAAAAGTTGTTTTAAAACTATATAGATAGTATAGAGACATACAATTATGAAAAGGAGAAATAGCTTTACATGTTTTTATAGCAATGGCATATATATGCATGTCATAAACACAATGAAGGGGAAAACAATCTACTTTGCACCAATGGAAATTACATATGTAAAAGAAAGACAAGAAAATAAAAAAACAATTGCTGATATACCCTGAGTGGACGGAGTGATTGCAGGAGGGCCAATCTATGAAACTCTAGAGTAGTGACTGATGCTGGAGGTAACAACAATCTGCTAAGTGACAAATTTTATATTTGTTAATTTTATATATATTTTCTATAAAAGCTTACCTTTTGTGCTGCAGTGATGAAAGCATTTTCCCAATCTGTCTTTACCAATTCACCATTAGAATTCTTCATGTAAGGTATTGTGAGTCGCTGTCTTTTCAGGCCATCATAAGCAAATCTACTCTTATCTGATAACCATTCTTCATTAATTTCCTAAAAAGAAAAGAAAAAGAACCTTGAAACAAAATCTGCATCACGTAAACCGCATTGCTTTGATGACCCCTTTTTCCACCCCATTCCATTTCAAAATACTTACTGTGGTAGAAAGAGTGGGTATGACTGTAATAGTAGAAAATCAATGATTTCAAAAGAGAAATAGTCTGGCAACCAAGATTATAAAAAATTCTCCTGAGAAGTGTCACTTTTATCTGAGGTGTATCCTATCTTAATAGTAAGTCCAATTGGTTCGATAAGGTCAAATTAGCAGCTGATCTAAAAAATGATATTGTTAACTGGGACAGCAAATGGCTTGTTAATGTTAAGCCTCCTAAACAAAATTGCTCTCTTTTAATTGTTAGAGAGAAAACATTTTGCCTTCCATCAGCATGGTTAATGCTAACCTCCATCAGAGTGACTCAATGCCTTCTTGGACTTCTTGCTTATGGAAATTCCTTTTGGCTTCTTGCTTCCCAGTTAAATGCAATATCAATCATTATCATCTTCATAATGCTCAGTAACTCCCTTGCATCTTGGTGTCTTTATTGTCTTGCTTGGGGTGAAATGATTAAAAAAAAGAAAAATATAACAAATATTCATAGTTTCCTGCAGTATACAGCAAGAATGCTGAATTCAAAGAAATGATAGCTGTCTGAGAGCAACTGAAAATGTGTTTTTTCAGTGAAAGAATAAGTCTTGTGGTAAAAGGTTACAGTTGGGAGCACTTTTATTCTTCCAATACTTGCACAAAACCCTCAGTGATAATGCTTGTGAACTCTCATTAATAATGTAGGGTAAATACTAATTATTATTGAAGTGACTAATGCTAAGTTGAACTGAAAGAAAATAAAATAGAAAAAGAATGGACCAAATTTTAATTAGTATAAAAATTAATGAGTTGGCTTAATCATTGCTTGAGAGCAAAAATGAACCAGTGAATTATTATAATGAAAAATAGTGTAAATTTGGTGAAATCATTCAGTATCAAATATCTTATGTACAACAAGGAGGATTATTTTTACAACAAATACAATCTATGAATATTATTTTCAATTAGAAAATTGTTTGCTCTGGACAGTTTATAATGGAAATGAATTTTCTTAATATAGCACCAGTTAACTTTTCTGAGGCAGTAATGATATGACTAAATTCAGAGAATTGACCAGAAATCAGTAGTTATAAATATTAATAAAAATAAATTTTATATACATTATCTTAAACATAAAAATGTTATTGACTTTTTAAAATAAAACTTTTCTTAAAAATGTTGATAGGCTGAACATATTCAAGATATTTTATTTTCACACACTTTCATTGTTACAGAGATCATATAAAACAACCTAATTTTCTCACCTCATTCATGCGAGGTACAATCCTCATTACTTCATATTAAATGAGTTGTTTTTTATGTGTAGAAAAATTAGCATCCATAACATCAATACTCTCTATTTTCCTGAAAGTAAAATTCAAAAGTTAAAGTACTTTAAATAATTTTGTGCTTATAGAGATTCTTATATTCAGGGAGTATTTTTACAGGCATAAAATTTTCTATTATAAACTGTGTAAGGGACTGTATCAATTTTCTGACAATCCAGATTACATCAGAAGTGTGCTGGTCAAACTCTCTGCCTGGAGGCAGAGAAATCCCAAAAAAGTAAAATATTTCCCTTAAACATTTACCCAACCCCGTTCAGTTTTTTACATAAGCTTCAAATTTTTTTTGGCTAAGCCTATGGGTTCGAAAAACAGGCATATAAGACTTGGCTTTCATGCCACATTACCTAGCATTGTGGGGCAATTAGTGAATATCTGACAATGAAACTACTGTGATAAGTACTGCAGTTGTGAAAAAGCTCAATAACAACATTCACTAGATTTTTAGTGCCATGAAAATATAGCATACCTGAAACTTAAATTCAGTAAAAAAAATAACTGCTCTTAGGCCAATTTTCTAAACATGGCCTTGCATGCCTAAAGCATAAGGCTTAGAATAATTCTTCAACAGGGCAAAAGATCAAATATTTCTTGAAGTTCTGACTGCTTTAATTTTTTTGGAATAGGTTCCAACTTGCATATTATTTCCACGTCCTGTGGTTCCAAGGTCATCAACTCCAGCAATCTCACTCGCAAAACTACAAAAATAAAAGCAAAAAAATCATTAAATAGGAATGCAACCATTGTATATTTCCCATATTCATCCCAGTGAAAACAAAAAATTAATATTTGGCATCAAAGAATTTTTTTTTAATTTAAGAAATTTGTAATTTTGTTTTTACTTTAATCAGAAAGATATAGTTGATAATGTATTTTAAATTTTTGTGCAAGAGAAGTAAAACTTTTCTTGGAACTTTTACAAAGTTTACATTGAAAGTATTTTTCTCAAGGGATTTTAAAACTCAAATAATCTGAGTAATCTTTCACAATGGAGCTACCTGGAATGACTAGGAATTCATCATTGTATTGGTTTAACTTGCAAGTTATTCTATGTACTTTTTCATGTTTGCATGATTTCACAGAAAAAGAAAATGCCTAGCTAGACAGACAACTCCAGGAGTCCTTTTCAGAAGCTAAGATAAATTGTCAAGAAAACCAAAATCTCTATAAAGGCCCAGAACAGGAGGTATAATTGGAAAAAATGAATATGTGAAGAATTTTTATACTTTAATCATGAAATCAACTTAGAATATTTCATTATTTCTGAGGATTTCTTTAATTAGGGAACACTTGCTCCAAATTAGACAAACAAGCTTGTTCAGCCAAGTTTTACTTAATGTGCAAAACACAGAGATAAGCAGTTGATCAAGGTAAATCTAAATTGCACTGATATATTCTGTTAGCTAAGATACCAACTGAAGTTGCTTCTTGTTAAGTTTTTCTTGCCTTTTATTCCAAAATTGCAATCTCACAAAACTATATACTACTATATATAACACATTGTTATATCATAATTTTTGGTTGCTTACTGACAATGGATAGATGAAAGTATAACATCTTGCTCATGATTTGATCACAAATAATGTTTTAGTATTACTTACCGGATACATCTGGTACAATGAATACAACGGGTCATGATGGTTTTGATAAGAGGCCCTACATTCTTGTCCTCAACCGCCCTGACAAAAAAAAAAAAAAAAATTTATACATTTCAATAATATAGTACTATTAGTACTGACAGAAATTAGTTATTTTGAAAATGATAAGATTGTTGAAATTTTCTAGAGAAACGTGAAATCATATCTAGTAGTAAAAGAGAATGTTTTTAAAATTATTTTGCTATACAATTATTTCTCCTACCATCATTTTCTAATATCTCATGATCTTCTCCAATCATTGTAAGTTTAAAGTTTCCTAAACATGAAATGCATTAAAAAACTTAAAATAAAGAAATATTTTAAAATTTTCGATAAGGTTTAAAATTTGCACCCACCAAAAAAATGGTGTTTAAAAAGGAGTTTTTCACTCAACACTTATTATTGTATGCTCCCTTTACTATTTATATTGTTTTAAAAAGCAATGATTAGAATTTTAATAAAACTCAATCATATGAAAATGGATTTATACATTCACTTTTTTCTCAAATATTGATGATAAAAGAATTAAACACTATTTATTTTTATTTACAAAAATTATTTTTTTACAATTTTGTAAAAATATGTGAACTAACTACAATGCAATATAATAAAGAAATAATTTTGAAACCATTTTTTTTTAATTCATAAATTTATAAAAATGTCTTCAAACAAAAGAATAAGAAAATTTAAATAAACACATAACCAATAGTAAACTAATGTTTTTAAAAATGTATTTTCTATTACAGTTCTTTCATTCACAGAAATAGTTTGCAAACATTTTTTTTTAACTTTTTTTTTGAGAACAAAAAACAAAATGTTAAACACTATTTGTTAGAGTTTTTTTATTTATAAGGATAATATTTAATACTTTTGTTGTCAATTCTCTACAAAAAAAGAAAAAAAAAATGCATAAATCCAATTTCTTATATCTGGGTCTTACTAAAATTCTAAAATTAACTTTTTAAAACAATAAAAATTAAGTACCTCCACTTTTTTGCTGAAAAAACAGCATAGCATGAGAAAAAAAGGCCCCAAACTTAATAAGAACAAAGTTTTATCATCAAAATGTTTGTTATTATTATGAGGAAAGATGATAAAAGTATTTTTTAATTATTTTATTAAAACTTTTTTAATTTTTTCTAGCATATTTGAAATTTTGGTTAAAAATCTTTTTTTCTTTAAATTTTTGCATTAGTTTTTACTAATAAGTTTTGAAAAACAATGATTTAGAAATTCTTGCAAAAATCAAATAATTATTGGATTTTAATGAAACTTTCAATACTTATTGCGAATAAATACTGAAAGTTTCATTAATGAAATTATATTTTGCAAATTTTTGTTTTAGAAAATCTTGGTAATTTTTGTTTTTTTACATGTTACCCCCAACTTATTTAATTTCATCAAATTTCAAGAAATTAAATTTTCATCCCCAAATTTTTTTTATTAGTTAAAAGCAGGACTCCTTTGAGAATGTAAATCATTAATTTTTTTTTTTTCAAACTGCTACTCATTTCTGGAAAATTTGCTCCAAATCATAAAATAAAAAATACAATAAAACTATTTACTTAGAAAAGGTTTTAATTGCTTTTACTATTTATTAAAGATACTATTGTCTTGAGAAAATTTTTTTGCAATGAACAATGAATTTTTACAATTTTTTTCATTACATTTTTTTAAAATTTTGATTATAATAATTTTTTAAAAAAATTTTTAAATTAAGCCTGTTAGGTGATATTGTTAAGTGAAAACTATATTTACTAATCAAAAATTGAAAAGCTTAATACAAATCATTTTGCACCAAAATTTTTAAAATAATTTTTAATTTTTTTATGTATATAAAATATTATGTAATGTGCCCACTTTTTAAAGTATGGTTGACCATATGCCACGTTATCAGAAAATAAGAGAAATGATTATAGTATATTTAAAGCCAACATTCCTAAAATTAGATTATGTAGAATATTTTCCAACATTTTAAAGATTACTGAGTACTTAAAAATTATATAAAAATGTGTTATTTTAAACTTAAAGTAAATATTTTTTTCAAATCATTTTAATTATACTTTAAATCAGCTAATATTCCTCAAATAAAGTTTCAGAAAAGTATATTTTATATTTGAAAGATTTTTTTAATACAAAGCATTACATTGCAATGAAAGACGACTAAAAAAAAAAAAAAAAAAAAAAAAAAAAAAGGTGCTAACCAGCTATTTTAGAAAAAAATTTAAAAAAAGAAAAAAAGATCAATTCCAATCAAAATAATTTGTTTGAAATACACCAGAGTATTTTGCTTACTGGAAATAGTAAAGCATTCAATTAAGGTTAAAATGAAAGCTCTAAGAAAGCTTTTTCACTTTTAAAAATTCATTTTAAATCAAAATTAGTGGAAAAAGAAAAAAATTTTCGAAGGGACTTTGAAAGTAATAATTGTGTAAAGAGAAAAACCGTCTTTTTGACATATTGTTTTTTTTTGAGTACAAATGTTAAAGTTTGCCAATTTTTCTCTCTTCATCCTCTCCATGAACAAAAACATTTAATTTTTTCTCTCTCTTTTTTCCCCCACCTTATTAAACTACTAAACTTTGTTCAGGTGATAAATTTTACAAAAGCTGTTAACAAAAAAAAATAAAAAATAAAACAATACATATTTGAAAATATGTTCTATACTGTAAAATGATTAAACTTAATATGTTATTATTAGAATAAAAAATTAAATTTATATTTTATTTAAAATAATTAGTTTACCCTCCGTTTTCGCAGTTCTCAGATTGGCGGTGTATTTATTTTTAATGATTAAAGGGAAACTACTCCTAATGACTCGCACGAAAATAGTGAAATTCATTAAACTCATTTTTTTTTATGGTTAACCATTCATTCTCAAAATGTCACTTGCAATCATTTCTTCAATAAGAAAATTGAAATTTACTTTTTCTTGCACACACTATTTAAAAAAAAAAATTCAAATGAATAAACAGTATTTATATGTCGTATCATCGACTTTTTAAAGTGTATTCTTTATGGGATTTTTAATTCATAAATTGTTTAACTGTATTTAATTTTCAATTGTATTTTTTGTACATGTACAAGAAAAAAGTAAGATGCTTTGAAAGAAAGCATCTTTTGCATTAAAAGTAATAATAATAATAATAGAATAACCATTTATCATGGATATGAAGCATAATGGGTCTAGTGCAACTTGGAGTGATGCTAAGAAGCCAAAAAGAGTTACAAGTTTCAGAGAAACAGTTAAATTGCTGGTTATGCTTTATAGAACACAGTCAGTTGTTGCGGTAGGTTGTCATTATTGTATCAATGAATAAAAGGTGAACAATATTCAGAAAAAAGAAAAGCAGAAGATCCGTGAGGCCGTTTCTGCAGCAACACCAGCAGGTACAAAGAAATTACATTATGTACATGATCCATTTTTGTCTTTGGCTGAAACGGATACATTTTTATAGGTGCAGGACTGTCATAAGAAAGGCGTCCCAACAGGCTCTGTTATAGTAAGGAAAAAGATAGTCCTTAACATGTGTCTTTTAAGCAATGAAATAGTGGTGAAAGAAAAAATATGAATTCTATGGACTTTCAGGCCAACAAAGATCGATTTAATAAGTTTAAAACAAAGTTTGGTCTATGAAATATTAAAATAATATGTGAGAATAGACTCTTTTTTTCTTTAATTTAGATTTTACTGTTTCTTCTTTCTTTCATTCTTCACAATGACAACAGATATCTTACAGGACACAAACACAAACTAGAAGAGACCATTATTATAGGGCGATTAATATTAAATGGTTTATTCAAGAAGTTCATTAAAAAAAACAAAAAAAAAAAAAAACAGCAAACTAGTTCTCCATGAGGTTTTTACCTCCTCAACAATATATTTTCTTCTAACTAGATAAAAACAACAGAAAACAGAAAATAAATATTTATTGTATTTCAAATATATTTAAAAATTGTTAAAATAGAAATTGTCATTTTTCCTTCCTTATTAATGGATTTATTTAATAAGCTAATTTAGGGTCATAGTATCAGCATATTTTTGTGAAGGGTAGGAAACAAGACTAAGTACAAAATTATGTTAATATACTAAAATATTTGTGTATGGTTTTCATATCTATTGGAAATTTGAAATGCTAACAGAAAAATTTTGTTGCATTAGTTTTCTAATGGAAAGTTATTTAGTTCATTATTTTTGAATGAAACAAATGAACTCACCGTTTACCAGAAAATTCAATGTCAGTAAATCTGCTGCGATCACTTCCAAATACCATTGACTGATCCTAAATAAGCAAAAGGAAAAATGAAAAGGCAATCAATTTACATTTAATTCTTTTATTAATATATATTTACAATTTGTTTCCCTAAGTCAAAGGAATGTGTGCTCTTAAGCAAATTTAATTCTCTAAAATTTTAGACAAACTTAAAGGGAATCTGTTTAACTTAAAATTGTACCAGTGCTTCTTCAATAAGATCTATATTTTGTTCATTGTAAGTACTGCTTTGTTTACTTATATACTTCTAAGAGGTGATCCTATTGGTAATCTTAATTTCTGTCTATTAAAATTATCAAAAGTGAAATAATGTTTTGTAATAAGTTAGTAAATCTTAATAATTTTATCAATTGGTTAGAAGAGGCTAATTTTTTATTATACTGGATGTTTTAAGAGACTTAAGCATTTGTTAATAGTTAGTGAATAGATTTAATTTCTAAATCAGCTATGAATTAATCTGTCATATCTATGTCTTTTAGTCTTTTGACCAGACTGCCAGAATTTTTAATATGTAAATGGCTAATTGTTTCAAGAATTTGTTGGAATTTTTGTTGTAACTTTCACCAATCTATGGAGATGCAAATCATCATATCTGGAACTGGAAGTGCTTTCCATAGACTAACAAAAGGTATAGCAAAAATTCTAACACCACTTCTTGGAACAATTAGCCAATCACATATTAAAAATTCCAGCAACCTGGTTGATAAACTAAAAGACATATGGCAGATAAACTCATGGTTAGTTTAGATATAATGGGATATTGTACCCATTAACAAATGCTTGACTCTCTTAAAAAAAAAAAAACAAAAAAAAACAAACAAACATTTAGTACAATCAACTAACTTCTCTGTACCAATAGATAAAATTATAAAGATTTGCCATTACAAACTAAAATTAATTTCACTTTTGATAATTTTTATAGACAAAAATTCAAATTCCCAATGAGATCATCTCTTAGCAGTGCTTTAGCATGTCTTTTAGAATCTCTAGATATTTCTATACCAAATATTTTTTGATTACTGAATTAAAAGAAATAAAATTAACAATGTGGAGTCTTACTTGCAAATCACATTCACCTCCTTGATCGCAAATCGGACAATCTAATGGATGATTAACCAACAAAAACTCCATCACACCTTCCCTAAAATGTACAAAAAGGAAATCAATATTAACAATAGGATAACTGAATTTTAGGGGATGGTTTCATGGCTGTGATACTTCTGAAATTTCTACCAGAGGATGTTCAAGTTCTGGTAAAACCAGTATTCTGAATGTTGATTTTCAAGGCAAAGGATCTATCCTAACTAGGAAAATTTATGTAACACAGTCTTCCCTGTTTTTTTACCCCATTTAAACCAGTGCCATACTAAGCTAAAAGCAAGAAATTATATTAATTTGGAATTTTAGTAAACTAAAATAATATTATTTAGTAAAAAATAGATAATGTTTATTTTATAATACAAATAAGGTTCAATGTTTAATTCTAGAATTTACAAAGTGGAAATTGTAAAAGGAGTAGTAATATTTTAGTCTTTCATTGATCAACCACTTTTAGATATTTTGCAAAAAAAAGTTATACACACAAATTCCTCAATTTATGCAGTTAACAGAGATCAAAAATTTCAATAAACCAAAATTGTGTAAACTGAGTATAAAATTTCTAAAATATTGGAAAATACATTCCAGAGCCTCAAAATTTGCACATAATCCATTTATTTAAAGAAAAAGAAATATTAAACAATGAGAAACCTTTTTGAAAATAGAAATTTTAATGAGAATAGAATTTCCCATTTTATTTAATACTAGTGATGATAGGTGGCATTCCTCTGTTCTGATATTTATAGCATAAAATAGTATACTTTTTTATAAAAATATTTATAGCATAAAATAGTATACTTTTTTAAAAAATTTAAATAAAATAGTATACTTTTTTAATAAATGATTCACTCGATATAAGGTCCAAATGTCACTCAAGGTAGGGGATTACTTAGTGATGTTGTTCAATCATCATAATAAAAATAATATTACATTTAAAAATTGTACTCAAGGAGTCTGGATTTTAATTTTCAATATAAAAAAATCACACACGTTTGTCTACAAAAATATATATATATATATATATATTTGTATTTGATGTACATAAGGAAACAAACATGTTATGCAGTTATAATGAAATCTGAACATAAGCAACAAATATTGTGAGAAAATACATACATCACAAAGCTTTTCAAATATGCATATACTTAAACATATCCTGAGAATAAAACTTGATGAATCCAGTTGAATACAATACAAAATAATTAGCTATCAATTCATGAGAATTTATAATAATTCTCTATAATAGTAGCACTAAGTAGCTGCTATATTCATTATTACTTCATTCATTATATCATATATAATGCAATTATGTTAAAATTAAATTGTTCAACTCACCGAGCTTTTCTGGAAATAGGAGAGTTTGTCTTCACTTTCATGCCTTTCATGACTGGCATAGCACATGAAGCAACTGGCTGTTAATAAAAAAAAATAAATAAATATATTAGCTTCAAAAGAAAAATTATTCTACCTGGTCACTTTAGAATATCAGATGATTAGAACCTTTTTGAATTTAGTGAAAATTAGTTTTTTTTTTTTTATTTCTGAAGAAATAACAAAAGATAATCTTTGTAATATTCTCTTATTTTTTTTTAATTAATCACTGCAATAATTGCTGATAATTTTTAATAATCTTAGTCCTAGTTATTTGAATAATAATACTAATATATTTTACATATAATAATAACACAAATATATAGTATATGCAAAGCTGATTATTCTACTACTATTTGGCAAAAGCAGCCACCACCATTTTGATTAATTCATCACATTTCAGAATGGGATTTAGTTTTAAAATAATTTTTTAATTTCTTTGAAAATAAAGAAAAATATTTTCATTCATTTGGAAAATGAATTTTAAAATAATCTGGTGACTAGAATTTGTTTTTTTTTTAGCCAAGAAGAAGATACAACAATGACAAAACCGAGCTGTTCTCTTGTTGTTTTGCTTTCTGTATTAAATATATTTTTACAGTAATCTGTAAATATGAATTAAATAAATTGTGGTTTATTTACTGGTGCACAATTTCATTGAATTTTCTCAATGACAATTTAACTGAAAAACATTAAAAATGTAAAAAAATTATACATCCTCACTTTAGGCGATCGTTCCACCTCTACTAAACACATACGACAATTGCCAGCCACTGAGAGACGATCATGAAAGCAGAATCTAGGAATTTCAACTCCAGCAGATGCACAAGCCTGAAAGAAGAAACCACAAAAAAAAAAAAAATATATATATATATATATATATATATATATATATATATATATATATATATATATATATATATGTGTGTGTGTGTGTGTGTGTGTGTGTGACGCCATACCCAAGTTTAGATATATTTAATAAAAAAATCTTTCTTGAGCTTTAATTTTTAATTTTAAATCCAAGTTAATACATTAAATTTAATATTCCCAACAAAAGAAAATAATTTGATGTATTTCAAACCAAATTTAAATTGATTGGTATTTTTCTTCATCAGTAAAATTTGCCATATTGACAGATCTGTTAACACAATTTTCTTTATTAAAATATCTTTTAAAAATATACTTTTCTGAAATGTTACTTGAGGAAAATTAGCTGATTTAAAGTTTAATCTGAATTGAAACAAATATTACTTTTAGTTTAAAATATCACATTTTTTTTAACATGGAGAGCGTTACTAGAAACAATTCACTTTCATTAAAATGTTATTTTTTCTCAAAAACAAAATAATTCCATAAAAAATTAAATTAGTTCAAACTAAAAGTACCTAAGAAAAATACTTTAAATTCACTTAGCCAAATCTTAATCTTATTTTAAACTAACCTAAATACATGAAAATAAATGCAATTGCTCTGTATTTTTTGACTTGTGGTGCCATGAGAAAAATTCCTTATTCACTTTGCAAACCACTGGCCTTTGCCATTTTGGCAATTAACACTATGTAATCAAACAATTTTTTAAAATTTATTAGTAGTAGCTGTCTGATGATCTGAGAGGCATATTTTTATTTCTTTTTTTAAATTTATTTACATTTTTAAACTGTAAATTTTATCTTTTTCCAAATAGAAACAGCAATGAGGGTGCTTTTTATAATGTATATATGTTATTTAGTAATTTAAGATAAGTAGGCCATATCTTGCTGAATTCATTAAAATTTTTATTACATGTTTATATTATTAATTATATTGACTCATTCCACTAATATTCTTGTGGAAAATTTGACCCTGAGAATGAAAAGCAGCAATATATTAAAACAATTTATAAATACTTGCAGGAAAAAATGTAGAAGTTTTGTTAGGTGTTTTTCATAGAATTTTTAAAACAAACTACTAATTTTAGTGAGTTCAAAATACAACTCTTTACATATAGAAATTTGAGGAATAAGGAAAAAGACCAATAGTTTAATCAAAAATTGTAACTTTTTAAAAATTTTGTATTTATTTTAAGAGAAAATTACAAATAAAAGGAACTATCTAAGGAACTCAGAAAAACATTTGCAATGGTTGGCTTACCTGCAACACTGTTGTTCCTGGATCTACATAAACAGGCTTATCATCTACAAACAGTTCCACCTTTTCAGGAGCAGCTTTACTCGAGGTGAAACGACCTAACAAAAAATAAATAAAAGTTAAAACATAAAACAAGACAACTGAAATAGTATGTACTTTACTTTTGTTTTTTTACAATGATGTTAATTCTGTACAAGGCCCAAGAGTCACTCAATGTAGATGGTTACAGAGTAAGAGGTATAGTTTATGTGGATATGTGGGGAAGATGATGGTTAACTCTAGACTTGAACAGGTGTAGTGATCTGGGAAGCATCCTCTTGGGAGTCAGTTTCACAGAGCAGTGGTTGATGGGAAGAAGTTCTTTAAGAGGAACTGACATCTCCTCAAAGGAATACAAAGGGAATCAAGGGTTTCACTACAATGTGCATGGCATGTCTGGTCTGGTCTTAGCAGTGAAGGAAAGAACTGGTGGAACTAAGAAATGTAGTTTGAACACTTTCCATGAAAATAGTGATAAAGGGATTGTAGGGTAGAAAATAATTCATCATCCACAAAGACGTGCTTTTGAACTCTATCCAGACTGGGAAGTGAAGACTGAGCAGCTCCTGCCCATATATGGCAGCAGTACATTTTTGGCCTGATCTGGCACTTGTAAAGGTAGAGGATAAGATGAGGAGTCAAGTACTTATTAAAGTGGTATAGAAAAACAATCACTTTTCCAGCAGCTTTAGCAATAGATAGTATTTACAAGTTCCACTTAAGGTCTGGGTTGATTTTAAGACCTAATAGGCACTCAAAGCATGAGGCCTCCCTGTCAGAACATCTGTTTATTGTGATTGGTGATAATTCTGGGTCTGATTGGTGATGATGAAATATTAATAGTTTGGTTTTTGAGACATTGAATGTAACCAGCCAGTTGTCTCCAACCCCCATCATTGAGGTGTAAGAGCACAATCAGAGGAGAGATCAGCTGCCAATATCTGATATTCTAGAGTTTTGCAGGGGCACCCATATATCATTGCATCATCAGCATAGATGTTCACAATTGTTGATCACTAGTGTGTTGGAGGACTTGGCCATTAACAACTACCTTCAGGGACCTACATGTTTAGAAAGGACTTTATAATTGAGAAGACTCTTCCAGTAATTTTATAATTAGAGAGCTTGTGCAATAATCCTTTATGCTACACCATGTCAAAAGCCTTTGAAATATCTAATGAAATTTTCCCTGAGATCTATTTGTTCTCTAATGCATCATTGATTTTGTGACTAATGGCAATTAGAATATCAGCCAATCAAAACCCATACTGTTTGTATGAGATTGTTCCTATTAAGGTGATCAACAATCCTCTTATAGCTTATATTGATTATAGCTTCAAAAAGTTTGCTAATGACACTGAGGAGACTGATGGATCTATACTAATAGGGGAATATAAGCTACTTTTGAGATTTAATAATTACAAGTTCTAATAAATGTGGATTAGATACTTTATATACTATAGCAGTAATGTCTTATCTAGTAAGCCTAGGGTTCCTGAAGCATTGTTTTCAGAAAACAAATGAAATGAGGAATGTATTTAAACTGAATTAAAAGAATACCTTTTTCTTTATTATCAATCAATTTTAATATATTATTTTGTCATATTTGGTTTGGTATACATGAAAATCTCAAAGTCAAGACACTATGTATGCTGAACTTTTAAAAAATATATAAAATTGTGTAATGTTACTGATCAGATAGATTTTAATGATATACAAGAACTTGGAACTTTTTTGTAGTATTATCAAATTTGATGGCAAGGTTAAAAAGATTTAAGTCAAATCTGAATCTTAAAAAAAAAAAAAATCAGCCCTACCTAGTGCCTATTTTGGTGTTTGTGGAAATGGAGTCACTGAAAGAATTATATTCCAAATATCAAAACAATCATCATCATCAGTCGGATGACCTGGTGTGGTCATAGGTTAGTTACACAGCTAAGCAACTGACTAATTTCCTCCATATATTTGGGTTGAAAGCTGGAGAGTTATTCATACATAGTGAATTTGGGGTAATTAGACATGGCCTCCTTGAAAATTGTCTTTCTGGTAATTTTGACTTAGCAGAAATACTTTTTTGTAGGATTGTTTTTATTATTTTTCAATAATCTATGAATCAAAATTCATCTATACTATAAACATAATAAAATGTACTTACTTGAAGCAATTATAAAGTTGCTTGGCCTCTGGAGTGCCCTTAAAGACACGAGGCGAAACATGGTGATGACTGAAAAAAAGAACATTTTCAGATATAAACATACAGATATTTTTTTCCTTAAATAGTGATATAAAACAATTCTCAAAGTACGTTTTGAATGTAAAATACCAAAGTCTAATATTTTTGTTTTTGTAACTTTGTCTGGATCTTTACTCTTAGGTGCATAATACAAGAAAATTTTGCCAACATGCAATAAACAGAAAGGCCTTAACAAAAGCAAAGCTGAAAAAAATCATTTATAAGGTCAAAAGTGTGAAATTAATAAATGGTATGGTCTTAATAAGCTTTGGTGAGAGCAGGGGAATATCCTAAAAAATAAATGATGCCTGACTTCTACACCCAAGAATAGAAAAATAAATATCTATCTATTTGGAATGTGATATACAATCAAATACTCTTATTATATGATCATATGTCCATATGAGTAGATAAACTCCAAACTACAGTTTCTAAAAGTAATTCCAAAAAAAAACAAAAAAAACAATAATCTCAATAATTAAAATGTAACATGCAAAATAAGAAGCTTTACTCTTAATTTTACTTTAAAAAGAAAAATTAAATAAAAACTTAACAGCAATACCGTGTCACTTTTGTCTTTAATGAAATTTTGGTGTGTGTGTGTGTATATATATATATATATATATATATATATATATATATATATATATATTATTCATATGTTGAACAATCATTGACTTGCATAATAATCCACACTGCCAAATAATTTATTGTAAATATTTCTAGTAAAAACATAAGTTGAAATCCACATGGTATAACTATTATTTAAATGCAAGTATATCCTAAAAATTTTACCATCCTTTACTGGTTAATAGCAATTGTGAAAAGAAACTTGCCCCATAAAATTTGTTATTACGTAGTTGCTGCTATGCATGGCATTTTGGTACTTTGAAACACAACTAGAGCTGTTTCTGATGTTTAATTACATTCATCAGAATCTTAATTGAAATTTTGTTTGCTATGACCTGAACAGTTGAGAAGTACATTGTTAACATTAATAAATTATTTTCAATCAAAATTAAAATTAAGCAATATGGAATGCTGTAAGTAATGCTAATTTTGAAACAGAAAAGTGAATAAAAAAAAATCAATGATTGAAAGGTTATAGCATGTTAAGAAACCAATATTAATTTATAGAGGTACATGTGATATTTTTTTTTCTGTTGCATGAATCTTTTAAACTGATTTATAAATAAAAAATCTGACACTCCACAAAAAGTTAATACCAATTTCATTGTGAAAACATTGACTTGTGTAATAAAATTTAACATAATAGATTTATAGCATTCATAGCATATTAAATGATTGGTTTCAATGTATCTATGGATCTATCAGAAAGTTGGATCAGAAATCATTTGTTGGTAACATTCTCTTATTACCCACTGATTGTGACTAAACATGATTTTTCCTCCAGAAAAAGCAGTTTTCAACACCTTTACCATCAAGACAACATATGTTCTGAAAGTGATCTTACTGGATTATGTATACTCTTAATTAGAGATTGCAAGGGGATTATAATAGTATAATTAGTAAAATTATTTTTCCTCACTTCCTTTTGATTCCTCATACCACACCTTCTGATCTTTTTTTTTATCTTCCTCATCATTTTGCCTTTCATTCTCACAAAGTCTTGTTGAAATATACATTTGGTATGCCTGCTTTGGACATAGTCATACTGTAACAACTAATTAAATATTTATCAGTCATTGCTAGTTTTAAGCATAATATTATTCCCCTAAAATTATAACCCCTTGAAGTCCAAAGAAGAGTTCAATCAATGCCATTCATTAAACAGCTAAACATAATATTTTCCATTTTCCTTTCCTTTAAATTTTACCCACTTTAATTTTGCCTAGTTTCTACCCACAGTTGACAGGGAGAGAATAGTCAACTTTATACACCCCTGATGAAAAGCTATAACACAAATCACCAGTATTTTTCATTAAGCTTTCTGGTCCACCTAGGAAAAAAAAAAAAAAAAAAAAACTGTCATGACTTTGCAAATTAATATCACAATATAAAATTTATTTTCTAGCAAAAAATTAGTGTTTTTTTTTGTTTTTTTTTTTTTTTAATTTTAACATAAGTAATTTATTTCATCTTAGCATTCATTCCCAAATTGTTAATTATTAAAAGGAGAAGGCATGTTTGAATTTATGTTATCAGTTGATGTTGGAAAAATTTCATCTTATTTCATTTAGGTACTTCTAAATTAGAGGATTGCTCTGAAACTAATTCCACCCATTTTATTATATTAGCTAATGACATCATTAGATGTTAGTAGTATGGCTGTAGAGGTTGTACCTTCCCAAAAATAACTCATAATTTTCTTTTGCCTTGTTACAAGTAGAAGCAGAGCAGCAGTTTGACAAAATGATGTTTGACATGAAAGGGCATATGAAGCAGTAGGGTATCATTGAATTTGTCCATAGACAAAAAATAACACCCACTGAAAGTCATCAACAGTTACTAAACAAAACAGTGGATATAAGCAGTTAGATGATGGTTTGAACAGCAGTAATAGCAATGTATGTAACAAACCAAATTCAAACCAATGAAAGATAAATAACATTTTCAAGACAGCATCATGTTGTGAAAAAAAAATGAAAAAAGTAATGTTTTGTTGTTGAAAACGTGTTCTGTCCAATGATGTATGTACTCTACATATGTGTTGTAGTTTCCATGAAAATAGACAGGAGATTCATCTGTGGATAAAGAACTAAATCAGGTTTAGTTAGCATTTTGAAATTAAGTCAAAATAATAGATACTGAATGACAATGGAAAGAAGTTACATGTTTGAATTTGTCAAACAAGAAATGATTAAAGCAAACCAAAAGTAGATTTGAACACAACAGAAACTAGTATTTTGAAAAACTAATTTCAGCAATTAAGGCTTTCTATATTAAATTAAACAAATTAATTATGTTGATGTGCTGACATTCTGAAAGATCTTTGACATTGATTAATATTGACCGATGCAGACAGTGTTGTCTATCAAATTGATAATTTTAATGGAATCATTTTGGGGCCAAAATAAGAATCACAGACAAATAGAAATTTGAATTTTCACTTTTACATCTAACTAAAGATCCCTCACTGGATCTAACTAATGCTTCTATCCACTGTGCCATGTGTCCTCCTTTTTTAGAGATTTTGTGGAGGTACCTATAACTTAAAAGTACATTACACAAAAGTTATTTAATCTATAGCAACATTGGTAATTACTCATATAAGAAATAAAGTTTCAATAATTGTGGTAAAATTTCAAACTAATTTATTCACATTTTTTCAACAAAGTTTTGTAAAGCTGGCATCTTTGAGTTAGCAGTTAGTTGAAAATTCTCTTTTTCTTCTTATAGTGTCTTTAAATTTTGAATCTTATTTTACATTTTATTTTTGCCGTTTTTTTCACCTGGACTTTATTGTTTTCATAAAAACCCAGGTCCATTTTTTGTGTTTTTTTTTTCTATGCATCTGAAATTATGTTAGCTATTTTAATTAAATTTTTATTAAAACTCACAAAACTGGCATATATAGAAATGCTGAGTTGAGTAGAAGATATTTTAAACTTAAATTCAATGCTTGGCACAAGATTTTTGTTGAATTTACCCAAAATTTGTCTGTATGTCTGTGTGAGTGACTCACTCACACTGTCACACATAACAGGCATTTACAAGTAGGTACCTCCATGAGATCGCTAAAAAAAAGAGCATAGCATGATGAAAAAGATGCCAAACTTGACGAAAACAAAATTTTATCATCTACATGTTTATGTTATTATTAAGAGGAAAGATCAAAGTATTTTGGGGGTATTTTTTTTTTTACAATTTTTAATCGTTCCTAGCACGTCCGAAATTTTCATTAAAAATCTTTGTTGTTTTTTGAGTCAGCAAAATTGACAGATGGCAATTTTTTTTTTCCATTTTATAAAAAAAAATGGAAAATCTCATTTTGAAATTCTTTTTAAATATCAATTATCATTTTTTTCAAAACTTATTTTAAGAAAATGAGAAATTATAATGTTTATTTAAAATATTTTGAATCAAGCTTAACTTAGCTTTGCGCCAAAAAAAGATGTAATTTGAAAATAAAACAAAGCAGGTCATAAACTTTCGCATCACTTGTTAGGTGATGAATGACATTAACGGACTCCGTGAGGATAATTCGTTCTACGGAAGGAGAAAAGTGAAATTATTTACATTTGAGTGAACAAATTATTTACCTCTTTATTTTTAAGGAAAACTTTCAGCGCTCTATTTTTTTGTACTTAGCTTTGACCTTTACGTTTACAATACTTTATGGAAAATATATTAAAGAAATTAAAATAAGACTGTTAAGAGCGAGATTAAATTTCATATTTCATAAGAAATTTATAGGTACCTTTCTTATGAAATTTTATCAGAATTGTACATAAAATACTATAATTTTATGTATATTCATTACATTTTACTGTGTTATTTGTATTTCCATTCATTTTATTATTAATTTTTATATTTATTTATGGAAAAATGTCATAACTGAGATTAATATAAAAATAAGATCATATAAATTTCATAAGATGATACTGATACTTGTAGGTACCCTTCTCAGTTGAAATTGAAAAATCAAATTAACGTGTTTCGCAAAAGTAAAGGCCTTAACAGTGGAGAACAATGCTTAACTCAAATAAAGCAACTTAATTGTATTCTGGTTGGTCTTCTGTACTTTATAACTACAGCCTAATCATAAACACAAAATTACATTTTTTAATTACTGCGGATCTTCTAGTCAAAATGATACAATTTGCAATGCGCTAAAAGAAGATCTATCTCATAAGGAGACTTAGGAAACCTGATGCAGCTTTTAACTAATTTTATAATATTTTAACAACTTAAATGTAAAAATCTATTATAATTAAAAAATAACAAATAATTGTATTAAAAAATTTTTCACCCAAAATTTCTTTTGCTTTCAAAAAATATTGTCCATATTCATAAAAGCAAGTAAAAGCATTTGAAATTAAATAATGTATTTGTTTTATTGAGTTTTACTTTTGTATGTTACACTTCAGAGCTGATTTTCAGGTAGGTGGGGTCCAATTAAAAACAAAAAAAAAAAAAAACAGGATTTGCATTTCTCAAAGCCTCGTGCCTATTGTAATCACTAAACCTGACGCGATCGAATTTCTAGCGTTTTCATAAAATTAGTTATGTGGTGGTGGTGGGGGGGGTGTAATAAATTTAAAAATATTTCTTATATGATTTTAATAAAAACAAAAAACATATTTTATAATAATTTCCATCATCTGTGAATAGTTCCTGAAAGTTTCATTAACATCCGACAATTATTTTTATTTTTGCAAGATTTTCCAAATTAATGTGTGTCAAAAAAAAAAAAAAAAAAAAAAACGTGCTAAAAATTGTATATGCTATTTTTTACTAGTTCCGGTGATACAAAGAGAAACAAGGTTGTTTTTTTTGTTTTTTTAATCAAAATTTAGAATTTTCTAAAAAAAAAAAAAAAAAAAAAATTTTTTTAAATGATTAAAATAAACTTTGATCTTTCCTCTTAATAATAACATAAGCATTTAGACGATAAAATTTTGTTTTCGTCAAGTTTGGCGTCTTTTTCATCATACTATGCTCTTTTTTTTTTTTAGCGATCTCATGGAGGTACCTAACGCAGACAGTTATGTGATGGACAGAAAATCAACTCTTCTTTTATAATACAGATTTTTATGTAATTTTTTTTTTTTTTTAGTGTATTTTAGTCGCAACTTAATTTATTGTCGTGTTTAAATGGGAGGTGGGAAGCCAAATAACACCAGGAAAAAAAATGAAAGTTTCTTGGACGGGGTCTTTTTCTAGTTAATTAAAAAAATATTTGACCTTAAAGCTGATAAAAATAAACTAAACGTTACAATTTTAAACCCATCAATCATTTGTGACAAATTTTAAATAGGGGTACTGAAATTTTCTCGACTGGTCAAAGAATTAAAAATATTTTGATGTATAATCAGATTTTGTGGCAATTGGGTCTGACCGAAAACTTTTTGGTACCCGCCACCCCCTCATGTACAATATTCGTCCTTCTTGCACATGCAAAAAGAACTTGAACCTAATCAGGCGGTTTAATGACATTAATAAGATTTAAAATACATTTGTACAATTTAAGGAAGATATCCACAAAAGAAAACTTGATGTGTAGAGTGATCAAGCTGAATTATTCAACAAAAGGACACCTTGAACAGAGATTAGAGGCGAACCTTGAAGAGGAGATTTAACATATCTACATAAAGCTGGGATCTTTTATATATTATAAGAAATTTTCAAATGAAAACTTAACGAGGAAAACTGTTAATTTAAAATAAATGAAGCAAAATAAATAAATTACATTGACAAATTCAATTTCCACTTACCACCGACTTCGTCCTTACACTTGTTTTACCAAATTGCTAATTTTAAGTCTTAGTTTCGTAAAATTACATTGCATAAATTAGATTTCGTTTCTTTTAAATTTTGGAATAATGTTTAGTTTAACATTTTGAATGATTTTTGCATACCAATTACTGATTTATCTTGTTTACATTACCCTTAAAGTTTTGTTTTATTTTTTAACTAGCCTCATATTCTTAACCTTCCTTTGGATTTTTCCTGCTTATAAGAGTTCATATTGGCATCTTATGTAAAAAAAAAAAAAAAAAAAAAAAAAAAATTATATCCGAGCATTTTCTACACGTAGATTAAATTAAATTTCAGTTTTTAAAATAGTCGAAATAAATTATATTGTATTTTAGACACTACTATTTCGTTTTATTTCGTAAATTTAAAAAAAAAAATAGGGGAAATTTTTGGTATACAGAAAAGAAAACTCGTTTCAAACTCTAAAATATTAAAAGTAAGAGAATTTAGTTAGAATTATTTAAGTTTCATATCTGTAATTTTACAGTGATATGTTGCTTTGACTTCTCTACACGCAGGCCACTAGTGGACCGCTGGCGGCCCGCCGGTGGCAACGCCATTTTAATTTTGAAAGATCTTTTTATAAAGAAAATTAAGTTGTGTTGGACAGTTTGTTCCTCAAGTTGTCTATTACTTTCAAGTTCTCAAGAGAGCAATCAGTTTGGTTGATGTTTTCCCTAACCTCAACACACTCTTGCCGTATTTTGCAACAGCAAACGTGAATTGTGAAATGTAGTCGCGTGGCGAATATTTGTCAGGCTTGTTAAGGTATAAGTCTATGGTGTGTGAATACTGTAATTTGTATTCGCCTTTTGTCAGACTTGTTTGAGAGAACTGACAACTGCGTGAAGTTTAATTTAACAAACATTCAAAGAATATCGTGTGGACTCTTCCAATATCCTCACCTTTTCTAACCTAAAAAACGCACAGTCCACATCGTACGCCTACGTACAAAAAAAACCTCAGCCAATAGAAATGGCGAGAATCGAATCAAGCAATTCCATTGGTCAATCGTTTTCTGAAACAGGAATTGCGCCAAAACGAGTTGAGCCACTTTTGGAAACCCAAATATTATAAAAAGGAAAGCAGACAGCCCCATGGTCAGTCCAGCTCACTTTCTGAGCGACTGCACGGTTCAACTCTCTGTCTCCGGACAGAAGGAGGCTACGCCGAAGGGCGAAGTCTCCTTCGGGGAGGTTAAATTGGCCCCTGAACCCGTTTATACGGGTTCAAATGGGCTTTTTTTGGCTGAGCCTAATGGCTCGGGAATGCCCACATTAAAAAAAGGCCTTTTTTGCATGACACCCTCGTGGGTGGAGTTTGAATATCTCAGTCTAGAATCACTTTTTGAGCGACTGCACGGTTCAACTCTCTGTCTCTTAACGGAAACCCGAAGGAAGGCTTCGCCTGAAGGGCGAAGTCTCCTTCGGGAGGTAAACTGGCCCTGAACCCGTTTATACGGGTTCAAATGGGCTATTTTTTTGGCTGAGCCTAATGGCTCGGGAATGCCCACATTAAAAAGGCCTTGTGCCGCATGACACCCTCGTGGGTGGGTGACTGAATATCTCAGTCTAGCTCATTTTTTGAGCGACTGCACGGTTCAACTCTCTGTCTCCGGAAGAGAGGAACCTGAAGGAGGCTACGCCGAAGGGCGAAGTCTCCTTCTGGGAGTTTAATTCACCCTGAACCCGTTTATACGGGTTCAAAAAGATTTTTTGGCTGAGCCTAATGGCTCGGGAATGCCCACATTAAAAAAAGGCCTTGTGCCGCATGACACCCTCGTGGGTGGGTGACTGAATATCTCAGTCTAGCTCAATTTTTTTTGAGCGACTGCACGGTTCAACTCTCTGTCTCCGGACGGAAGGAACCTGAAGGAGGCTACGCCGAAGGGCGAAGTCTCCTTCGGGAGGTTTTTCGGCCCTGAACCCGTTTATACGGGTTCAAATGGGCTTTTTTTTGGCTGAGCCTAATGGCTCGGGAATGCCCACATTAAAAAAGGCCTTGTGCCGCATGACACCCTCGTGGGTGGGTGACTGAATATCTCAGTATAGCTCACTTTTTGAGCGACTGCACGGTTCAATCTCTGTCTCCGGACGGAAAAAAAACCCGAAGGAGGCTACGCATGAAGGGCGAAGTCTCCTTCAGGGGAGGTTAATCGGCCCTGAACCCGTTTATACGGGTTCAAATGGGCTATTTTTTGGCTGAGCCTAATGGCTCGGGAATGCCCACATTAAAAAAGGCCTTGTGCCGCATGACACCCTCGTGGGTGGGTGACTGAATATCTCAGTCTAGCTCACTTTTTGAGCGACTGCACGGTTCAACTCTCTGTCTCGGACGGAAAGGAACCCGAAGGAGGCTACGCCGAAGGGCGAAGTCCTTCCTAAAGGGAGGTTAAACTGGCCCTGAACCCGTTTATACGGGTTCAAATGGACTATTTTTGGCTGAGCCTAATGGCTCGGGAATCCTTGCCAGGACACCCTCGTGGGTGGGTGATTGAATATCTCAGTCTAGCTCCTTTTTGAGCGACTGCACGGTTCAACTCTCTGTCTCCGGATTGGAAAGGAACCCGAAGGAGGCTACGCCGAAGGGCGAAGTCTCCTTCGGGGATGTTAACCGGCCCTGAACCAATTTATATACGGGTTCAAATGGATATTTTTTTGCCCTACATTCTGGGAATGCCCACATTAAAAAGGCCTTGTGCCGCATGACACCCTCGTGGGTGGGTGACTGAATATCTCAGTGGCTCACTTTTTGAGCGACTGCACGGTTCAACTCTCTGTCTCCGGACGGAGAGGAACCCGAAGGAGGCTACGCCGAAGGGCGAAGTCTCCTTCGGGGACCGAGCCCTGAACCCGTTTATACGGGTGAAAATGGGCTATTTTTTTGGCTGAGCCTAATGGCTCGGGAATGCCCACGAAAAAAGGCCTTGTGCCGCATGACACCCTCGTGGGTAATCTGAATATCTCAGTCGAGCTAACTCACCGAGCAATTGCCTAAATACTCCACGACGTTTCGAACCATAATCTTGCCGCGCTTTTCAACGAACATTCACTGACTCAATTCGAACATTCGACGAACGACTCTTGAAACTTTTCACTTAATTTCTTATGCATATTGATTTATAATCATTACAAAAATAAGAAATACGAAAGCGAACACAAATACAAAATACAATTAAGGGTAGACTACTTTGACAAACTCTTTTGCAAAAAAACTCTTAATTTTATTATTACAATCTTTGATACAAACAAAAAATAGCAAACATTACGATACAAGAGACATTAACCATTTCAGCATACACATACAATTTACGCACGCAACTCATACAAATATTATTCCAGTTTGTAAATGTTTAATTGTATATAAATGTTGTATTGTTTTGCTCTATATATGTCTCGTTTTTTCCTTGTTTGAAATATCACGATTGTTTGTATATTTGTTTGGGACGCGGTCAAACACGCAACCATGAATAACAAATCCTTCTGATAAATTAAATGACCCTAAAGTCCCAACAATCGCGGTAATACATCTCAAAGCCACGCGTGACACAAAGAAATGGCAAAAAATTTGAAAAGTACTACTCAAAATACAAGGGAGTAGAATATTTGGTTATTCGAAAACGCCTCTTGGTGTTTTCTGTTTCACAGCATCCTTTTTTTCTTTTTCTTTTTTCATTATTATTATTATTTCGGGGTGATATTGCCCCCTGCTACAATGAATCCATTATACACTACTTACATAGACTGAAAGAACGAGCCAAGTATTGTGAATTTGAAAAATTGAGAGCACGTGAAATGACTATAGAAGATGAATTAATCCTTCTCAGAATAACTGACGGCTTGCAAGACCAAAACCACAAACAAAAAATACTAGAATGTCTACAGAGTAGTAGCCTGAGCTTGGAAGCTAGCGTCGTGTTTTTACAACAATTAGAGTTGATTAAAGAATTTAATCATCCAAAAGAAGAATTCGAGACGTACAAGACGAGCACGACCAAATCCATAATTAAATGTAGATATTGGGGAAAAATCACAAGAGAGACAAGTACAAATGTCCAGCCCAGCTCTAGGAAAAATATGCAAAAAAAGATATCATTTTCATAACGTATGCAAATACGAAAAGAAAATAGAAAGAGTACAAACGGTACAAACCCCATCCGAAGTAGCTTAAATAATTACAATGAATACACAAAAAGGAAGTAGAGAAAAAAATAAAGATAAATGGCCAAATATTTAACATGCAAGTTGATACAGGCAGTGAAGTCATGTTGATACAAAAAATTTCTGGATAAAATTAGGACGAGCTAAATTAAAAAAAAAAAAAAGCAGCATCCAATTAAAGCAGTTTGATGGAACGACTATAAAAATAATGGGTACATTTCAAGGCAATTTTGAAACCGGCAAGCGTTTTGAAATTACAGTTGTAGAATGCGAAAAAGATAACGGATTACTAGAAAATGAAAGACTATAAAGCAAGCATTCGCTTAAAATAAAATTATCATCCAAAATATATAGAGTCAAGTAAAGTTCCATTTCATATCCTATCTTTGGTATTAGCCAAATTAAACAAAATGATACAAGGCATACTAGGAAGTAAATCAAGGTGGTAGCAATTGGGCGTCACTGATAGTAGCGATATAGAAACCTGACGGAGATTTAAAGATATGTGGTGATTACAAGATAGGGGTAAATCACTAGATATGTTCAAACTCTTTTCCTTTGCAAAATATCGAAACTGCGAGCCAAAAAATGGAACATTTGGAAAAAAATTGATCTCAAGGCAGCATACGAACAAATAGAAATTGAGAAATTCAAGGAAATCACCACGATAAACACCCCTATAGGCTTACTAAGATGGGCTCGTCTACCGTTTCGGGTAAAGACTTCGAGCCATATTTTTCAAAAAGCAATTGAGTCTTATTAGGATAAATAAAAAATATAATAATATATCAGGACAATATATGTGTAGGGGCAAGAACTAAAGAAGAATTAAAATATAAAATAGAGCAAATTTTAGTGAGATTAAAAAAGGCAGGTATGACTGTAAACAAAGACAAGTGTAATTTTGACTGCAAGAAGATATATTTAGGATATCAAATATCAAAAGAAGGCATATCACTCGACGATAGACCAACAAAGAAAATAACAGAAATAGCTGTTCCAACAA